CTCTAAAAGTCAGTGAACATATATCCTCTGGTGAGGATAAAAAATAAAAATAAATAATAAAGGGATCATGCATCCTGACCAAGTGGGGGTTTATTCCTGGAATGTGAGGATGGTTCAACATAGGAAAATCGATCAATGTAATACACCATGTTAACAGAAAGAAGGAAAAAAGAAAAGGATCATCTCGATTGATGCAGAACAAGTATTGACAGAATTCAGTACCCTTTCATGATAAGAATAATCAACAAATTAGGACTATAAGGCAACTACCTTAAAATAGTAAAACCCATTTTAAAAAAAAAACGCCCACAGCTAACATACTTAATGGTGAAAGACTGAAAACTTTTCCTCTAAGATCAGGAACAAGATTAGGATCCCCACGTTTGCCACTTCTATTAATCAAAACACTGGAATTTCTGGCCACTAGCCAGATCAGTTAGACAAGAAAAAGAAATATAAGGCATCTAAATTGGAAAGGAAGAAGTAAAATGATCTCTCTTGACAGATTATATGATCTGTTGTAAAAAACAACACACAGACTAAAGATTCCACACACAAAAATTGTTAGCACTAATAAGTGAGTTCAGCAAAGTAGCATGAAACAAAATCAACACACAAATGTCAATTGCATTTCTATACACCAACAATGGCCAAAGCAAAAAGAAAATTAAGAAAACCATTCTATTTACAATAGCATCCAAAAGAATACTTAGTAATTAATTTAACCAAGGAAGTGAAAGACTTGTACAATGAAAACTTCTGAAATAAATTAAAGACATAAATAAATGGAACATATCCCATGTACATGGGTTGGAATACTAAATATTGTTAACTTGTTAATATTACCCAAAGGGATCTACAAAGTCAATGCAATCCCTATCAAAGTCCCAATGACTTTGTTTGTTTTTGTTAATACTCACCCAAGGATATATATTTCCATTGATTTTTAGAGAGAGTGGGAGGAGAGAGAAAGAGAGAAACATTGATGTGAGAGAGACACATCAATTGGTTGCTTCCTACAGGCACCCTTACCAGGGCCAGGGATCAAATCTGCAACCCAGGTACATGCCCTTGACCTGGAATCAAACCCATGATCTCTCTAACACTGAATCACGCTGGCCAGGGCCCAATGACAATTTTTGCAGAAATAGAAAACCCCCTCCTAAAATTAATATGGCATCTCAAGGAACCCTTAATAGACAAAGCAATCTTGAAAAAGAAGTACAAAGCTGGAGGACTCATACTTGTTATTTCAAATTTTTCTATAAAGCTACAGTAATCAAAACAGAGTGGTACTGGAATAATGACTGACATATAAATCAATGGAATAGAATAGAGAACTCAGAAAAAGCCCTCACATGGTTTTTTTAAAATATATTTTATTGATTTTTCACAGAGAGGAAGGGAGAAGGATAGAGAGCTAGAAACATTAATGAGAGAGAAACCTCAATAAGCTGCCTCCTGCACATCCCCTACTGGGGATGTGCCCACAACCAAGGCATATGCCCTTGCCCGGAATTGAACCCGGGACCCTTCAGTCTGCAGGCCGATGCTCTATCCACTGAGCCAAACCAGTTAGGGCAATAGCAGGATGATTTTTGACAAGGGTACTAAGACCATTCAATAGGAAAAGGACTATCTTTTCAGCAAATGGTGCTGGGAAAACTAAATATCTACCTGCAAAAGAATGAAGTTGGATCCTTAGCTAATATCATATGCAAAATTAAAGTAAAAATGGATCAGAGATATAAATGTAAGATCTAAAACTATAAAACTTTTAGATTAAAACATAGGGTAAAAACTTTATGACATTGGATTTGGCAATGATTTCTTGGGTATGACACCAAAAGGAACAGGCAACAAACGTAAAAATAGACAAATGGGACTTCATGAAAATTTTTATATTTTGTGTATCAAAAGACAATATCAGTAGAGTAAAAAGGCAACCCACAAAATTAGAGAAAATTTACAAATCATATACCTGATAAGGGATTAATGTCCAGAATCTATAGAGAACTCCTAAAACGCAACAACAAAAAACCCAAACAACTAGATTAAAAAATGGGCAAAGAACTTGGATAGATATTTCTCAAAAAAAAAAAAAAGACATACAAATGGCCAATAAATACATGAAAAGATGCACAGCATCACTGATCATTAGGGAAATGCAAATTAAAACCACAATGAGATACTGCCTCATACCAATTAGGATGGCTACTATAAAAAAAACAACAGCAAATTTGAACCTTTGTGCACTGTTGGTGGGAATGTAAAATGGTACAAGCCACTGCCTAAAACAGTATGGCAGTTCCTCAAAAATATAAAAATAGATTGACCTGTGATCCAGCAGTTCCACTTCTGGGTATATACCTAGAAGGATTGAGAGCAGGGGTTATTTTAGAGATATTTCACATCCATGTTCATGTCAACATGATTCACAATAGCTAAAACATGGAAGCAACCCAAATGCTCATTGGCAGATGAATGGAAATGCAAAATATGATATATTAATAGTAGAATATTATTCAACTTTAAAAAGGAAGGAAATCCGGACACATGCTACAATATGCACATAATGCTAAGTGAAATAAGCCAGTCACAAAAAAACAAATTCTGTATGATTCCATTTATATGAGACAGTAGTCAAAAATCATAAAGACAGAAAGTAGAAAGGTGATGCCAGGGAGGAAAGAGGTAAGGAAGAATTATTGTTTAACGGTATAGAGTTTCCATTTTACAAAAAGAAAAGAGTTCTAAAAAGGATGGTGGTGATGGTAGCACAACTTCATTAATGTATACCACTGAATTGTAAACTAAAAATGGTTAAGATGGCAAATATTGTTTTTATAATTTTACCACAGTAAAAAGTGGAAAAATAAAATTGATGATCATGGTTGGAAAATATATATTTAGGCATACATTACTTTTGTAATTTAAAAAATTAAGAGGAAAAATATTCAGAGTATGATTTCTAATTTGCAATTTAAAAAGAAAGTCACAGTCTCAGTGTTTGTAAGTGTGTTTTTAGAGGAGGAGGAGGACACTAAAAATATAGTGATAATTTCCTATTTAGCCTAAAGCATAACTTGCCATTCTTTTTCACATAGATGTATTTAGGGATTTGGGATAATCTACCAGGGGTTGTGAAATGTCAAATGGAACAAGCACTTCATCTTGATTTTGGAACTGAATTGGAACCAAGAAAAGAAATAGTGTTGTTTGATAAACCAACTAGGGGAACTACTGTACAGAAATTCAAAGAAATGGTCTACAGTCTCTTTAAAGTAAGTATATCTATTCACATGTTGCCAGTATGAATCACTACACTCTTCTGAAAGAATTGCCAGCACCTCATTCTAAACCACAAGAATGTTGCTATTCTTTGACCTGTATCAAGACTCTTATCTTGAGAGAAATAATTCAAAGAAAAGAAAAAATGTGTGGAAGATATTTACTTTAATATTATAAGCTAAAAATGTCCAGATATGAGAGGGGAGTTCTATAGTTTGACATTGTAGCTGATACATTTTGAAAAGTGAAATAAAATCAGTACAACCTGCTTTGCAAATTATTTTTTTAAATTTTAAAGAAATCCTCATACAGAGATTAATTAGAAGTATTAAAAGATGAAAACAATTACACTTTGGGAAAGAATCTTTTTTTTAATTGATTTTTTATAGAGAGGAAGGGAGAGGAATAGAGAGCCAGAAACATCGATGAGAGAGAAACATCGATCAGCTGCCTCCTGCTGGGGTTGTGCTCAACTGGGGACGTGCCCACAACCAAGGCACATGTCCCTGACCGGAATAAAACCTGGGACTCTTCAGTCCGCAGGCCGACGCTCCATCCACTGAGCCAAACCGGCTAGGGCAAAGAATATTTTTTTTATTGCTCTTATAATCTTTTTCTCTGGAGAGCTTACATTTTCAAATTATTTTATCCCAAGCAGGGAAATACATTTTTACCTTCATTATTGGAATAATGTAAGTTAAAATAATTACATTAATGTGATTACAAAAAATAATTTTCAGTTGACCCTTCTTATAATTGGATACTAGAGGCCCGTTGCACGAAGAGATTAGTGCAATAGGCCTTCCCTTCCCCTGGCTGCCAGCACCGGTTTTCCTCCGGCACCCGGGACCCAGGCCTTTGCTCCGGCCGGAGCCTTCAGTCTTCGCTCCGCCGCTTCATGCCTACGTATGCAAATTAACCGCCATCTTTGTTGGGTTAATTTGCATACTCTCCTGATTGGCTGGTAAGCATAGCAGAGGGACAGTCAATTTACATGTTTGTCTGTTATTAGGTAAAATGAGCACATTACACTGCAATTTTGCAAGTAAATGTATGAATAAGACAAAGAATAATTCGTGTCTTCATTAACTGTATTTATGCAGAGTGTAAGAGGGTTATGGGACTTAGGGTGGCCATTTCTTAATAAATAGACTTAGCCAAGTTTTACTGCATTTACATACAATATAGTTCTCACTTAGCATCATAAATATTTGGATTATGTTTTAAGTTCCTTATGGGGATTCAGTAGCAAAATTACTTAGCATGATAATAATCCCCATAAAGGAAGTTAGTATTTTTCCATTTGCTAACGTCTTATCTTTATAGGCAAAATTGGGTGACCAGGGAAACCTCTCTGAACTGGTCAATCTCATCTTGACGGTGGCTGATGGAGACAAAGATGGCCAGGTTTCCTTGGGAGAAGCAAAGTCAGCATGGGCACTTCTTCAATTAAATGAATTTCTTCTCATGGTGATACTTCAAGATAAGGAACATACCCCCAAATTAATGGGATTCTGTGGTGATCTCTATGTAATGGAAAGTGTTGAATATACCTCTCTTTATGGAATAAGCCTTCCATGGGTCATTGAACTTTTTATTCCCTCTGGGTTCAGAAGAAGCATGGATCAGTTGTTCACACCATCATGGCCCAGAAAGGCTAAAATAGCCATAGGACTTCTCGAGTTTGTGGAAGATGTTTTCCACGGCCCCTACGGAAACTTTCTCATGTGTGATACTAGTGCCAAAAACCTAGGATATAATGATAAGTATGATTTGAAAATGGTGGACATGAGAAAAATTGTGCCAGAGACAAACCTGAAAGAACTTATAAAGGATCGTCACTGTGAGTCTGATTTGGACTGTGTCTATGGCACGGATTGTCGAACTAGCTGTGATCAGAGTACAATGAAATGTACTTCAGAAGTGATACAACCAAACTTGGCAAAAGCCTGTCAGTTACTCAAAGACTACCTATTGCGTGGTGCTCCAAGTGAAATTCGTGAAGAATTAGAAAAGCAACTTTATTCTTGTATTGCTCTCAAAGTCACAGCAAATCAAATGGAAATGGAACATTCTTTGATACTAAATAACCTGAAAACATTACTGTGGAAGAAAATTTCCTACACAAATGACTCTTAGTTCATTTGGACATTGTGACCATTGTGGGAAACTTACCACTTAGAAAAGTTTGAGCACTCTAAAAAAAAATGGCTTCTGATTGAAATCCCTGCCAGTACAAAACTCATTTCCCAATCCTAAGAAGCCATCATCTTAAAATACATGTCTATTGCTGAATGACGGGAGGTATAGGATCAATAGGTCCCCAAAATGTAATTCCTGCTTTCAGAAGTCCTGGTACATTTCCCAGTACATTCACTGTGTAACTATTTGACTGACTTTAAAATAATGCTGTGAAGCCTCATTCCAGACATCAACAGTGAGATTATTTTGTAGATTTGTTAGTCAAAATACCACTGCTGGAAACATTGTTTGCGTTGAAGCTGCTGTTTGAAATTTATACATAAATTTACTAATGTCTTAGCATGGTAAAGTTTGCACATTAACAGAAATGAAGACTGCAAAGCAGATAAATTAAAATTACTGATTTATAAATAGATGTTAATAGTATGCTTTGTTGTATTATAGACTTAAACCCATTTTAAAGACATCATGCTTTATGTGGCTTCAGAGCCTCTTTTTTTATTCTCACCCAAGGATATTTTTAGGGCAAGTGGAAGACAGAAACTTCAATGTGAGAGAAACATGATTGGTTGCCTCTTGCACACACCCTGACCAGGGCCTGGAGGAGCCTGCAACCTATGTACATGCCCTTGACCAGAACCAAACCTGGAACGCAACATCTCCACAAGCTGATGCTCTATCCACTGAGCAAAACCAGCTAGGGTGCTTCAGAGGCTCTTAAAGACCTATCAAGTGTCTTACTTAGCAACATGTAATTGCCATGAAAATGGATGAGCTTTCCACCTTAGTTTCAAATGGTCCATCTTGGTATCAGCCAGCCAACTTAAGGCCACAGACCCTATCCAGATACATTTATCTTGAATTTGTCATGAAGAGTCATTAAGTGGACCCTGAAATCAGAACTTTTTAACTTGACATTTTCAAACAGTATTTTCTGTTGACCAAAGGGCTATTTTTAGAGGCACGCAAATTTATTCATCAAATATTTTCTCATGTAAACTATATATACAAAGATTTGCTCCTCTTTCATGTTTATTCAGATCTGGCCATGTACCTTTCAGCATCTCCACAAAATTAAACACCTTCTAGAGAAAAGACCCAGTATTTTCTGTTCAAAGATTTCATCTGATTAAAGAATCTTAGCTATGTGACCTTCATTGGACAGCTTCCTTTCAAAAATTAAATCCACAGATTAGCACGTTTTGCTTACTTTAAAATTACATACTTTGAAGGTACCTTTCTTCCTACTAATCATCTGGTTACAATAAATGAAAGAAGTATTTCCTAGTGGAAGGCTGGTATGTTGCTTGTCAGACTTGAGAACAGAAGCCCAAGCAGCAGGTGTGAACTTTGAGTCAATACACAGGACATCTTTTTCTGGGAAAAACTATACTTGTTTCTTGAGGAAATATACTGCCAATTTCAGGGTATTTCCTACAGTTTCATTAACAAGAGCTCAACACAGAAACAGCTGTTTGCCTAATAAGTTTATTGTCTCTCTTCTGGAAAATCTTCATAGAAAATTATGATTTGGTTTATTAGCTCTCAGCAGCCCGTTCCTGAGCTCTGAGGAAGCTTGCTTTCTTCTGAGCTACCCGATCTTTCTTCTGGGCAAGAGACATTTTGGGACGGTTCCACCTATAAAACAAAGAAGAGCCAGAAATGTTATTTTTAAAAATACAGCTAAAGAGGACAGAGCTGTGTTTTATTTGTAATAAGATTTCCAATAAATGCACTTATTATTTTAGGCTAATTTCCCCAACCCCCAACTTTTGTGATACTGTCCTATTACCACACAGTGCCAAAAATCAAACACACTAGTACAATGTTTAGAATCATTATTAGCAGTAACTGGTAGTTACACTGTACTAGGATAGAATGAACCACCTCAGTAGCTTCTGAGGCTAATACATTTCTATCACCACAATTACTTTAGCAAACCTGGTTCCCTTCACTTCTGCAACATCATGCAGAGTTAGTGATCGAGTTTGCACTTTACTCAGAATCTGAGTTAAGATGAAACAAGGCAAGTTTGGAACCACTCCCAACCTCTCTCTCTTGAAAACAGTAAGATACATACCTCTTCTTTTTAACTTCTTTCTTAGGCTTCTTCTCATAGACTGGATTCTCTCGTATAGCAGCATGAGCTTTCTTATACATCTCCTCCATCTGAAACAAAGCAAAGCAAACAGTACTTGGTTTCATTTCTTATGCCCTAAACAATAATACAACATACTGTAATCTATTACTCGCTCTATTTTGTCTTTCTAAGCCAGATTCTCAAAGGGCACTAAACTAGGTCAGTGTTGGTATCTGCTTAAATTTCTAAATGTAATCTCTAAATTTCTTTTCTTAAGAAATTCCCAATTTTTTTGCCATAGGTAATGAGCTGACATTATCCACAAAACTCAACTTTTTTTTAAAAAAATTTATTTTTATTGATTTCAGAGAGGAAGAGAGGAGAGTCAGAAACATCAATGGTGAGAATCACTGATTGGCTGCCTCCTGCATGCCCCCCACTGGGGATCGAGCCCGCAACCCAGGCATGTGCCCTGGCCGGAATCGAACCTGGGACCCTTCAGTCCGCAGGCCAACGCTCTATCCACTGAGCCAAGCCAGCTAAGGCAAAACTCAACTTTTTAATACATTTTTACTGATTTCAGACAGGAAGAGATAGAAACATCAATGATGAGAGAGAATCATTGATCAGCTGCATCCTGCACGCCCCACATTGGAGATTGAGCCTGAAACCGGGCATGTGCCCTGACCAGGAATTGACGAATAACTGGTTCATAGCCAAAGCTCAACCACTGTGCAGTGCGGGCCCGGCTCAACTTTTTCTTGAAGAAAAATTTGCATGTCTTTCTGAGGACTTTGGGTATATTTTTTAAGTCATTCAAAGTTTAGAGCAAAATGATTTCTGTACAAACTCATTTTATGCTCATTTAAAATACTGTCTGACCTAAATTCTTTCATTTAAGTGAGGATAAACGCCAAAACAAAATTTTTAAGAGTTTATGGGGACCTGACTAGGTGGCTCGGTTGGTTGGAGCATCATCTTGTACACCAAAAAAGTTTAAGAGTCAACTGTAAATAACTTGATTCTGTGCAAAATCACTCATGAAAGAGCAGCTGTAAAATACCTGAGTAATTATCAAAATATAATAAAAATTACAGCCCCCCTAAAAAATGAATCAGGTAATCAATCCAGGTCTCTAAAATTATTCAGTGTGGAGAGAACATGATTACTACATGCATTTGTGGAAACCAATGCAAAACTTATCACTACATGAGACCTCAAACCACCTAAATCCCTTTTGAAAGTTAATTTCTCTCTCTTTTAGCAGTCTATTTATTACAGCTCTCCACTGTATTTAACAAACCCATTTGATGACTTCACTTGTTGTAAAAAAAAAATCTAAGCAACCCAGTTTATTCTTTTCAAAAGATCAGACAAGCAAGAAATACAACCATTTTTGTAAACAACTCCATTGAGTTTAGGTAAAGACCACTTCCTGTTTGAGACATGCCAGGTGTCTGCATAGAACTTCAGTATGCACTCATAGGAAAGATGCTTCCATAGATAAAATTAATGAGCTAGTTGGAAAGTCTATTAGCCAAAGAGTGGTCCTGGCTGAAGCATGAAATCGACATAAAAAACATTAGGAAACAGACATCTGAAAACACAGATTGTTTGAAAAGTCTTGATTAAGCCAACTGTAACTTGACCAGAGCAAGAAATGGTTTAGGGGAAAAATTTTTGCAGGTTGCCCTAGCTGGTTTGGCTCAGCTGATAAGAGTGTCGACCTGCAGACTGAAGGGTCCAGGATTCGATTTGGGTCAAGGGCACATGCCTGGGTTGTAGGCTTGATCCCCACTGGGTGTGCAGGAGGCAGCCGATCAATGATTCACTCTATTCACTGATGTTTCTCTCTCTCTCTTCCTCTACAAAATCAATAAAAATATATTTTTAAAAAATTGTAGGTCAAGTAGAATCAGTAGAAGCAGGTCAAGAAGTGAACAAGGATGGTATCAGTAAATAAAGGAATATACTCATGTATAAATACATGCACCTATATAGCTAATATAAAACTATCTTTTTCCTAGTTCAAAAACTCAACCTAGCCCTGGCTGGTCTGGCTCAGTGGATAGAGCGTCAGCCTGCAGACTGAAGGTCCTGGATTCAATTCTGGTCAAAGGCACATGCCCAGGTTTCAGGCTCCATCCTCAGTAGGGTGCGTGCAGGAGGCAGCCAATTAGGATTCTCTCTCATCGTTGATGTTTCTCTCCCTCCCTCCCTCTCTGAAATCAATAAAAACATATTAAACAAACTCAACCTATGTGCTTATCCAGCCCTACATTGTGTACAAAGCACACAAATAATCTTTTCCCAATAAAACTCTTTTAAAAATAATTTAATAGCCAAAGCTATACCAAAAATACGTACTAACAGAAAAAAAAAATCTAACCAATTACTTAATGTGACCCACCTATTTTTCATATAACTAGAGGCCTGGTACACAAAATTCGTGCAGGGCAGAGAGGGGTAGGGGAAGAGGTGTGTTCCTCAGCCTGCCCTGCATCCTCTCCAATCCAAGACCCCTCGGGGGATAACTGGCAGTCGGACATCCCTCTCCCAATTCAGGACCGCTGGCTCCTAACCGCTCGCTCACCTGCCTGCCTGCATGATTGCCCCTAACCCCTCACTTGCCGGCCTGATTGCACCTGCCTCTGCCCCCACCACCGTGGCTTTGTCTGGAAGGAGGACCGGACTACCAGATGTCCTCGTCGACCGGTCTAATTAGCATATTATCCTTTTATTAGTATAGATTCTGTATTTGTCATAGTTTTATAGTACTCAAGCATTTCTTTTTTGGGGGGTTAATTCTCACCTGAGGATACTTTTCCCCTTGATTTTTAGAGAGTAGGAGGGAGAGAGGGAGGAAGGGGAAGAAACATCAATTTGTAAGACACATCCATTAGCTGGCTCCTGCACACACCCTGACCAGGGCTGGGGATGAACCTGCAACCCAGACACATGCCCTTGAACTAGAATTGAACCCGTGAGCCAGCTGACAGTCTTAACCATTAGCCATGCCAGCCAGGGCCTAGTATGATTTGTGTGTTCTATGCTTTCACTATAATTTCAAAACTGGCGCTATCATAAATTACTCCAATGCATTAATAGAGATAGCCCGGGAGACACAACTTTATTTTTCCAACATTAAACTCACTTTTGCAAACACCATTCCCTTTAATTAAGCGTCACGCAGAACTAATGTTAAAAATCTGTACATCTTGCCCTAACCAGTTTGGCTCAGTGGATAGAGCGTCGGCCTGCAGACTGAAGGGTCCCAGGTTCGATTCTGGTCAAGGGCATGTTCCTTGGTTGCGGGCACATCCCAGTAGGAGGTG